TTTTTGAAAGTAATTATGAAAAGTAATTATGATGTTGCAAGACTTTTTGCATTTGTGTAAACATTGCAAACATTGATTTGTGTAAAATTGTGCCTTGTTGCAAGACTTTTTGCCAGCACTGTATATATATATATATATATATATATATATATATATATATATATATATATATATATATATATATATATATATATATATATATATATATATATATATATATATATATATATATATATATATATATATATATATATATATATATATATATATATATATATATATATATATATATATATATATATATATATATATATATATATATATATTTCAATTGGGTTGAGATCTGGAGAATTTCCAGGCCAATCAAGCAACTGTATGTATATATATATATATATATATATATATATATATATATATATATATATATATAAATATATATTTCAATTGGGTTGAGATCTGGAGAAGTTCCAGGGCAATCAAGCAACTGTATGTATATATATATATATATATATATATATATATATATATATATATATATATATATATATATATATATATATATATATATATATATATATATATATATATATATATATATATATATATATATACAGTCGCGATCAAAAGTTTGGAACATTTTAAAAATTTGCAGAAAATTTGAAATACTTGTTAAAAAACTTTTTTTTTAATTGAAAATTTTGAGTATTAGTATTATATACATGCGTAATTTATGTTATAAGCCACTAAATTTGTTTTAATCATAGTTTGTTGTTATTTTAGAAAAAAATTAAAATAATAATTATGGGAAGAACTAATGAATTAACAACCGAAAAACGTGCTCAGATTGTTATTCTACATGAACAAGGATTGACACTGACTTCTATTGCTTCACGTTTTAATGTAACCCATAGCTGTATCATAAAAACATTGAAGCGATATCATGACACTGGTAATTTAAAAGTAAAGCTAGAGCTGGACGACCAAAGGTGACTACTCAAAGGGCAGATAATAGCATCCATCGTTATGCAAAAGCATATCCGTTTGCCAGTGCTTCTGAAATTTCATCTGAGGTATTCCCCACTGGTGTTGCACCAAGTGTTGTGACCATTAGAAGACGTTTGTGCAAACAATTTCATTTAACGAGCCAAGTTCCAGCAAAAAAACCTTGCCTCTCTCCAAAAAATATTAGAGATCGTATTGCCTTCTGTCAGAAATACAAGGACTGGTCAGCGGAAGATTGGGAGGATGTAATATTTAGCGACGAATCATTAATCGAACAATTTGGTTGTCGTTCTACAAGCGTTAGATGCCCGCCTTGCCAACGATACAACCCCAAATATTTGCTTTCAACTGTAAAACATTGCCCTAAAATCATGATATGGGGTGCCATTACAGCCAATCAAAGTGGTGGTTTATGGCTTATGCCTCCTAACACCACAATAAATGGCCATATTTATCTTGAAATATTTCAAGAAAAACTTAAAATATTCATGAACATCACAAATACCCACAAGTTTCAGCATGACGGAGCACCCTGTCACAGGCCAAGCTTGTAAGCAGTTGGTTACTTGAGAATGGAGTTGAAGTCATTGGCCCCTGGCCTGGTAATTCACCGGACCTCAATCCCATTGAAAACTGCTGGAATCATCTTAAAAACGAAGTCCAGAAACTTAGACCATCATCTTCCGATGATCTACAAGAAAAAATTATGTATGGACTCAATTAAAAAGAAAAAATTAGACAGGTATGGACTCCTGAATATTTGAGAAAACTCGTTCACTCTATGCCTACCCGGCTAGCTAATTGTTTGAAAGCTCAAGGACACCATACCAAGTATTAATTTCAAGTATTAAACTCATAAAACATTTATTAGTATTTCAAAGTTATTATATTCAGAAATTTTCATGGTTACTAATATATTTTAATAAAATAACTAAATAATTTAATAAAAATTGTGTTTTTTATACAATGTTCCAAACTTTTGATCGCGACTGTATATATATATATATATATATACATACATATATATATATATATATATATATATATATATATATATATATATATATATATATATATATATATATATATATATATATATATGTATATACAATGCTCGAAGTGGAGAAAAAAAAGTAACGGGATGGTATTCAGTAAATTAAAAATACCATTCTGCCTTATCATTGTTATATATTGAAATTTATAAAAAGGTGGCGGGATGGTTTATACTTTATAAAAAGGTGACGTGATGGCATCCCGCCTCACTTCAAGCACTATATATATATATATATATATATATATATTATATATATATATATATATATATATATATTGCCAAATGACCTGTTAGACACAATTAAAACAAATATTTGTTTAAAATTAAAACTTTTAAAATGTTTGTCACTCACACCTATTGTATCTTCGCTACTTGTATTTACTGACACATTTTGTTATTGCACTTTAATGGTCTTTTTAACCCTTTGTAATGGGTTAAAAAGACCTTTACTTTTAAGAAACTGTGACTAGCATTTACATGTGTATATATATATATATATATATATATATATATATATATATATATATATATATATATATATATATATATATATATATATATATATATATGTATATATATATATATATATATATATGCATATATATATATATATATATATATATATATATATATATATATATATATTTAACATCTTCGCTTTCAACAAGGCTGCAAGCAAACACTATAAGAATTGGAAGTTACTGGATTATAAAACATGAAGTTTATAGATCAAGATATCAATTGACAAAAGACTTGAAAGATTTCAAATTATATGAATCAGGGAAGCAAGATGAAGGAAGTGAACTCTAAAGAACTGATGTTTGAGGGAAAAAACTAGACAAATAAGAGTTTTTAAAGCACTTAGGAACAGTCACAATAAAAGGATGAGACTTAATTGAATGACAAGTAACACGATAATAAATTTATATATATATATATATATATATATATATATATATATATATATATATATATATATATATATATATATATATATATATATAGTGAATCCAAAAATTATTGGCCCACCCTTGCATAACTACTTTATTTTTGCTGGCATATAAGAACTATAGGAGAGAATTACTAAGTGTTAGTATCATTGTGTTGTCTGTTATCACTAGTATATATACAACAAGTTTCAGGTTTTCAATTACTTTCATTCTTGCTTTATTGAGAAAACATTATAAGTTCGTTCAAATATTATGTACAAAAATTATTGGCCCAGAGAAAAGAAAAAAATGTTTGTCCATCGCGAAACAGGTATTTCATCGAATCTAGTATCGTGTTGGGTAATCTTTCATCTTGATGCATTCTTGTAATCTACTTGGTACTGAATCAACAAGTTTCTGAAGAACAGACAACTCGACGTTATTCCATTCGTTCTTCAAGAGGTCTCCAAGTTCGTAGATCAGGCGAGGATGAAGGCCAAGCTAATGTTTGAATATTGTTTTGTTTGAGCCAATCCTTGACTAGACCTGATGTATGCTTGGGATCATTATCGTGGACAAAAAAAAATTCTTGTCCAAAAATAAATTTTTGGATCGATGGTAACAAATGCTGCTCTAAGATGTCACGATAATAAAATCGGGTTATTGTATGGTCCAAAATACATAATTCACCAATTCCATTTCGCGTGAAACAACCCCAAACGCTAACAGAACCACCACCATGCTTGACTGTAGCCACAGTACAATGTGGATCGAATTCTTCCTTGGGTGTTCTCTATACCATTACTTTTCCATCAGACCCGAACAAATTAAATTTCGATTCATCGGACCAAATGACAGTTTCTCAAAACTTTATCGGCTTGCTCAACATTGTTTTTGGGTATTTCAGTTGTTTAACTCGATTGATTTTGTTGACTAATGGTTTCTTTCATGCTACATGACCATAAAGTCCAGCTTCGTGAAGTCTATTTCGAATGGTATTGGCGTGTAATGATATTCCTAGTTCGGTCTCGATCTTTACAGCATTGGCAGATTTACGTTGATCGGACTTAACTTTGCGTACTATCAATCGATCCAATGTTTCGGTTGTTTTCCTTTTTCGACCATGTCAGAATAAATTACCGCTACATTTCGTCTGTTTGTATTTCTTAATTATGTATCGTACTGTCTCTCGAGAAAGTAATGTCTTAGCAGCAATTTCTTGTTGAGAATCACCGTTTTGATAGTGCTGAATTACTAAAGCTCGAAGGTCATTACTATGTTCTTTCTTTTTAGGTGCCATTTTAGTAAATTATCATTTAGTGAAGAAATCCGCAAGTATTTATACTATAATTAGTGGTTCTAGATATACCGTTGACACAATTCTATAACATTCTGAAAAAAACACAAAAGTTCTAGAACTTTTTGGAAGTATTATTTTCTTTTCTTTTCTCTGAACCAATAACTTTTTTACATAATATTTGAACAAACTTATACTGTTTTCTCAATAAAACAAGAACGAAAGTATATATATATACATATATATATATATATATATATATATATATATATATATATATATATATATATAGTTTTTTTTAAAAACACACACAAACATATATATATATATATATATATATATATATATATATATATATATATATATATATATATATATATATATATATATATATATATATATATATATATATATATATATATATATATATATATATATATATATATATATATATATATATGTTTGTGTGTGTGTTTGTGTGTGTGTGTACATTTATTTATATATATATGTATGAGTGTTTTTTTGGTTTCAGATTGTTTTTCAACTGTTATTTTCTTTAATTTTATTTTTTTACAAGGTCTCATCTTCGAATTATTTTTATTCTATTTACAATGTTCCTTTAAAATAGTATTAAAATTTTTTTAAAATTGAATTAAAGTATTAAATTATTATTATATTATTGATTATTGTACCTAATCTAAAAAAAATTATTTCCTACCAATTTCATTATCAGCAATATTAAGAGCTAAACTGAAAATATTATTTAGTGTTGACGATACTTCTATGGAATCACTATTTTTAGTTCTCAATAAAAATATAGTTTCCAGTAGTCTGGTTAATTCACCACTCATTGTATCAAGTATAACCTAAAAATTTATTTAACATTTTACTAATGGTTCTCGCATGCTTTCGTTTTCGTTTTGTTCGTTAACATTTTTATTTTAATTACGGGTTTCCACTAAGGAAACCTATTCCTTGCGATAATATTTTTTTTCGGTTTACATTTGTTAATCGTTGTACAGCTTTAAATAAACCATAATAAAAATAATAATATAAACTTATAATGACATGAAACATAACAAACATAAACAAGGTATCTGAAAGAAGATCGCAAGGATCTTGTCGTCAGAACTTAAAAAAGCATATAACAAAGATAAGATAAAAAAAAAATTAATAAACTTTTACAAAATTGCAAGGCAAACAATCTGTATCTGAAGAAAGATCAAGAGGATCTTGATCATAAATTAAATCTTAAAATCATAAGATAATAATCGTTTTTATACTCCTTGTGATCATTAAAATCTTTTCATCAGTGGTGAATCCAGGATTTTATGGTGAGGGAAGGAGGAGGTATTAAAATATTTTTGTATCATATTTGCGACTCCAAAAGAAAGGTCCTTCATTTCTAAGATAATTTAAAACTTTAAGATTCAGGTGGGAGGGGGCATACCTCTCATCCTTCTCCCCTCCCCCATTCCCCTCCGGATCCGTCACTGCTTTTCATAAATGCATATTTTATTTTGTTTTGTTTTAGGTACCACAAGAAGATCTAACGCAGTGTACCCAAAGTATAAAAAAAATCCTTTTTTAGACTTTTCATTTTAACGTTAACAATCTATAAATTATATCCATAAAATAGAAGGGAAATTTTTTGACAAATATTAACAATGGGGAGCGGGAACGTTAAAAAAAGTTGACGCCAACGGTTTTTTTTAAATAAATTTAATTACTTGAAAAAAGGAAAATAAGATTTTTTATTGTAATTCTATTTAGGAAAAGGGAACACCAAACGTAGGGGGGGACTCTGGAAGACTAAATTTGTTGACAAGATGGAGTTTAAAGTAAAAGTTGCCAAAGAGTTGTTGACATAATTAATAAACAACCCCTCAAAAAAAAATTATATTGTGTAGAAATAACTTAGGTTAGAGTAAAAATAATTTCTGAAATATAAAGTTAAAGAAATAAATCGAATCAAAATATTTAATAAAAAACTGTAGAATTACTGTTTTTTAACAAAAAATATTGCAGTTTTACAAAATAAAAACGATTAAAAGAATTGGAAAAAAATTCTGTCCTGAAATAATAAGCAAAGTCTCCATGCATGGACTATGCATGTTTATCATTGAATATGATCGGCACCACCGCGCCGGTAATACCGTTCATGTACAAATGATTTGCCACAATCGTTTTATGATCGGCAACACTGTGCCAATTTTGCCAGTCTTGCCGATCATGAAACAATCTTATATCACATTTGTTACAAAAAATAAGCCCTTCCACGTTTTTTTTAAGAAAGTTTTTACAATAAGAAGTTATTATGTATTAAACATTAATCGTTAAGGTACAACCTTACATTTTTTATTTTTCCAAACTTGATATTGTTCTTAAAATTAGAAACTTTTTTAGATAGTAATTATAATTAATTAATTATAATTTAATTATAATTTTTATTATAAATTAATTATAATTTTTTTATATATTCAGTTATAACTAAATATAAAAAAAAACATAACTAAAAAAAATAGTTTTCAAAAGATGCTGAGTCAGCATAAAAAAGCAAAAAACGTGCAGTTACAAGAACATAAATAACTTAAGTAATATTTAAGACTAGCTGAGATTGGACCCGTAAAAATACGGGTCTTTGTAAATCTATTCCAAACCGAACTTTTCCATACTTTTTCCTTATATATCCTAGCTTTCCGGATCCGTAAAATACAGGTCTTTACCAATTTACATATCTATTCCTCACCCATTATTTATATAATTATTCCTTATTTAATTCAATTTTTTTTAATAAAATAATTTATTCTGAAATAAAACTTTTAGGGAAACTTAACATGCGCAAGGTGCGCATGTTAAGTTTCGGATACGTAGAGCTTTTAAGAGACTTATAATTTAAGTTTGTTTTTCTGCTAAATGCATTTCATTGATAGCTAATTGGTCATCGGTGTTGTTTTGAAGGGTTGAGATCTCTTAGCGTAATAAATTTTGAAATTTTTTCAATCTTGCTTATATATTTATAGAAAAATAATAATAATATTGCAAAAAAGATTACTAAAAATTAAAATAAAATTTAAAATAATTTTTTTTTTATTTTTTAGATATATAAGATAATATATAAGATAAAATAAAATTTAAATTCAAATTTTAAAGTTTTCTCATTTTATATATATACAAGATATACGTGGTTATTCCATATAATGCCTGCAAACTCAGCATATGCTAAAGACGTTTACACTTACAGACGTTTGTAGGTAACGCTATACAAATGGAACTAAGAAAATCTTAGAGCACTAAAACATAGTCATTAAAAAAAATCATTCAATCAATCAAAAATGATTATGATTAAGAACTAAAGAATATTATTAAACGCTAATCTAAAAATTAAGTCAAAAAGATTTTGCGCATTGACTTCTTATTTCTATGACTATCATTTTGAAAGGTCTAAGAAGCACTTAGTTTTAGCAATCAGAAATTATCGAGAGAGGAGCTAATCTAAAGTTGAAGTTTCAAATTTTCCACTTGGATGTGACAATATCTTTCGTTTTTTTTTTCAATCGTCAATTTTTTTAAATATAATAACATAACTACAAAAAATCAAAACAAAACAGCTTGAGCAAAGAAGACTTGTAATTATGAGAAAAGTTTACTTGTGTTACATACGATCCTGTATTAAAACGTTATATAAGTGAATTTTTTAGATTTTGTAAACAATATATATAAACAAATTACATATTTGCTTATATATACATTGTTTATATAGGGATGGTTAAGCGCAACAAAGTTCAGTTTATGTTAATATTAAAAAATGATTTACATAATGTTTCTTTGCAAACACCGATGTTGTATACTTAAATTTTTAAATGCACTAAACTGCAATTACTGTTAATTTTTTTTGGTTTAGTTGCTTTTGTTAAAAGCTTTTAAATTTTGCCTCAAATTATCTCATCTCATATTCGTTGTACCATTCATACTGTATCCTTTTTTAAAACGATAAAAATATCAATTTTGACTTTTTTACAAAATTAGCTAGTTTATATGTCTACAAATGTTATTGAATACATATTTTCAAAGAGTTCTGAAAAAATTTATAAAAAATAATTCGTTTCAAAAAAAGTTTTACAAAGAGCTAATTTTTTTTTTTTTTTTTTATAATTTTTTTTTAATTGCGTTTTTTTCTCGAAATACGTAATAAGCTTATTAAGACATTTTGAAAAACGGCTGCAGCATATATTTATATTAAAAAAATTAATGTAGCAAAAAAAACCTTTCATTGTCAAAAAAAAAAAATTTCTAGCTACGGGTTTTTATTTTACCTTCACAGCAGCACTTTCTGGAGTAGCAGGACTGTCTTAGGAAGTTTTTTTCTTTATTAAGTTTCAGAAAATTTTTTTTTTAGACCATCCGCAGCCTATTAGGATTGCCTGAGCTCATTAATAACATAAATATCTCAATCATGACACATACGCAACAAATTTTTTCTACTGGTGTTTTGATGTTTTTAGAAATTTAAACTTTTTTAAAATCTTTTCGTTCGTTAAGTGTATAATTTCGTTACATATGTTTGAATATAATCTCTATAAAAACTTCAAAAGTATTATGTATTTTAAAATAATCGAAAAAATTAAAAATAAAAAGTTGCCAGTGCTAGGACTCGAACCAGAAGTGTGGCGATGGGTCCGCATGCGGGGTAGGGTAATAGTATAAAAATGTTTATAGGTTTAAAATTGTTTTTGGTTAAAATTCATGCTATAGTGTTTTGTCAGATATTTACGGTATTTTGTCAAATATTCCCAAAAAATATCTAAAAACTTCGTCAAATTTGCTGAGGTTTTCAAGAAAAAGTATTTTTTAGAAATAGCCAACAATAATAAGAATGCTAAGTACAAAAATCGAAAGACTAAAAAGTATTAATATGCCGAGCGGAGCAACAAAAAGTTATTTCAAAATCTTACAGCTCTGATTTGAATTGTATCCATCCAATAAAACTGAATTATGGGATTGTATCATCCAATAAAACTGAATTATGGGAGTGAATCTGTCGAGAATTTAGAGTTTTTAATAATTTTTAGAAAGAATATATCCGGAATAATTACTTGTAAATTTGTTTAATAAAATGAATTTGGTTAAAATAATTATTTTGCAATTTTCATTTCGAGAGTCGACCTTCATTTGTAATAATCCTAATAGCATGTTTTTGTTTGCAAAGAAGTTTATTTATTTTTGTAACGTTGGTGCTGCACCAAGCAATATTTGCATAGTTTAGGTAACAATATATAAATGAAAAGTATATGTATTTCAAACAAGATGGGTTTAAAAACTGTTTAGCTTTATACAGTATGCCAATATTTTTTGAAATTTTATTCTTAATTACATTATATATTCTCTCTAAATAATATTTTTATTTGGAATTACGCCCAAGAATTTTAACGATATTTCTTTCTTTATTAATTTATTATTAATAAAAAGATTCAGTAGTTTCAATGGAATATATATTTTTTTAAAAGCATGATGGAATAATATGTATCTAGTTTTAATAACGTTGGGGATATTTTATTGGATTTAAACCATTGGCTTAGTTTATCAAGTTCTTTATTTACTGTTAAAAATAAAATATTAATATCTTCATTGGAATAAAACAAGTTTATATCATTGACAAATAAAATTGAGTTAAAGATATTGGAAAAATTATTTAAATTAATAATATAAACTAGAAACAAGTCCTAGTATTGAACCCTGGGGAACACCGTATGTGAGTCATATTATCAGTTTTTCCATCTTCGTATGAAATATATTGTTTCCTATAAAACAAGTAACTTTTAAACCAAGCAAAATTTGAATTTCTTATACCGTAGATTTCGAGTTTGGATAAAAGAATTATATGATCAACTGTATATTTTATAGATCTAAGG